ATACTGTTCATCTCAATAATGATGAAAATAGTTCATTGTTAGGTAGTAATTTCTTTTATTTCAGATAATCATTCCCATCACTACACCACCGTCACTGTCATATCCTCTCCATCTAGTTGCGATGTTGCCAAATCATGGATAGTAATATACTTTAATTTGGTTTGTCAAATTATTACTTATATACTAGGGCAAAGATGTGCAATCGGTACAGGAGTGTCATGAAAATGCGATTTGGAAGTGTGGCCGGCAAGTTTTACTGTGATAAATCTACCTTGTGCCCTACGATAGCGTTAGCTAAAGAGACTTTCTTGAAGAATGCCTTATGCCCTTCATAAAAGTACTTTGGTTGTTGTTTTTCCTATATTATAGTTATAATCTATTTACTTTCTGTGTGTATGTACTTGAAGAATTATTTAAGGTGAAGCTGATGTTACAAAATGCACCTAATTAAATGTGATATATATGAGAAGTAACAGAAAAAGTAGCTGTTGCAAATTACAAAATAATGAAAACATAACAAAGAACATTGCAAGTTTTTTGATGATTTGATGAAATGATCGTTGATCTTTTTTAACTATAATGTTGGACGATGATATGTTGGGTGGACCTGGCGGTGTGGTCCAAATCGACGAATCGACGTTGGGTATTTTTATATGCAATGACCGCTGGTGCCTTGTATTTTTTATGTCACGCGAGCCGCTGGTGCATTTTACACTGTTCAGACACATTCTGTTCAAAATTTCATCTAGTTTTCGGTAAATGTTGGAACAAACTTTCATAAAACAAGCCATTTACAATAAATTAAGACTTTTATTTTGCAAATAGCCTCACTTCTAATTACGTATTTCACCAAAAAAAGGTTCAACTTGGCAACAATGGACACCATTTATCTTATCTGTCAAGAAATGAGCGTTATAAAATGGCCATTGAGAATTGTTTATACTTTCAAATGTTTCTTATAAACGCAAAAACTTTGATCACATTGAAAATTGTTAAGAAATTTCAAGAAGACATTGAAAAATCACAAAACAACACCTCTACACAGTTTACCAAGTAAATACCATCATTTACGTATGTATTTTGATCTGTCATTTAAGCTAATGGGTAATAACACGTCTGGTTTTGATCCGTTTTTTTGCAAAAAAAAACGATTTTTCACAGTTTCACATCTATTTTCCTTAATACTATACAAGGTATGTTATATTCTTATAATTTAGCGCATCCTTTTGTACAAAACGCAAAAAAAGACAGCATATGAGTATTACCACCAAAAATGCAACTTCGAAGTTCTATAAAATAGCTAGCAGAGGGTTCCTTAAAGAAAAAATGGTATTTTCGTAAGTTACATCCTAATCTTTCACTTTAACGTAAGAAATGAAGTATTTGCGATATGCCCTAAAGTATAGTCTTACCTCGAAGCGGTACAAAATCAACTCGAATCCAAATTTATATGAATTTTTAATAAAACGTTTTTTCATTGAAATTCTTGTTTCACAGGCTATAGCTTAAAGAACCTGGTGGATTTTGATATACAAGGTTTTTCTAGATTTGACAGCCCAAGTGACACTGGGTGTACTTAAATTCGTAAAATCAAAATGGCGGATATCAATCTTCAACCTTGAAACGTATATTTCACGGGCTATAGCCCAAACGGCTTATTGGATTTTGAAATTAGGCGTATCCTTGATAGGACAATAGAAAATTCATTCTTTACAGTTGCTGCAGCTTGACTTTTTTATTTTTTTAAAATGTACTTGTTCTGATATCTTGATAAAGAAACTCTCCTAAAAAGGGCCCTATAATTGATCCCCGAGGAACACTGGCATTTACCAATGGCTCATTTTGACATATTATGACAGCACGAGAACGATATTTCCAAAAGACTTTGACGTTATTATTTGAACATCTGGTTTACGTAATTTAAAAGTTTCTACATCAAAAGCCGTTATGGCATGAGAAAATTGCACAACAAGAATCCGAGCTGGGTACATTGTTGGTGCTGGTGACCATGGGTCTGACAGACCCTACGCGAAATTCAAATTTCTCCCACTCCCGGATTTAACCAGATTTTAGCTTGTCCGCCTAGGTACCCGTCTAATAACTACGATATTTGCAAGTAAGACGTCGTTGTGTGTGCATCGCGGACTTTTACGAGAGAGTTTTCGTACGTTGTCAAATATTTCGCAGGGTCTGTGAGACCCAGCGTCACCATTTACGTGATTTTTGAATAATGGCATCTTCAAGACAAAAAATACATGCAACTAATAAAGATTTCGAAACTATTGCTCAGCGATGGCACGAAGAAGTAAAAATTGGTGATTGTAAGAAAAAATAAATAGTTAAAAAACATTCGCTAGACAAGGATTTTATTCTATTGAGTAATTTAAAATATTAAGAAAAAACACAGAACTCGTAAATCAAAAGTTATTTTTTTTATAAATTACTTAATAATCTAAGATTTTCTTGAATATTTAGCTTCTGGTTGGTCCCTTTTAATTGTCCAGCAGTAATCTGCTAACATATTTGGGCTCCATTTGCCCTGGTACCGCTTTTCCATGTCCTGATGGAACCTCTCACCGTGCCCGTCGCTGACAGCCTCTAAATTGTCAGGAAAAAAATCCAGGTGCGAGTCTAAAAAATGGATCTTAAGTGACATGTTGCAACCCCATGCTTGATATGACAATAATAGCTCGCTAACCAACTCTCTGTAGCTGTCACTCTTGTGGTTACCCAAAAAATTTGAAACAACATTTTTAAAAGCCTTCCATGCAGATGTTTCTAAATCGCTTAATTTTTCTTCAAATCTTGAATCTTTTATCAACTCCCTAATTTGAGGGCCAACAAAAATACCCTTTTATCTTTGCATCACTTATTTTAGGGAATTTTTCTTTTAGATACAAAAATCCACTCCCATTGCGATCCATTGCCTTCACAAAATTTTTTATTAATCCTAATTTGATATGCAATGGTGGTAGAAACACATTATTTGGCTGTACAAGGGGTAAATACTTTACGTTTTTTTGCACAGGAACTAACGATGCACGCGTAGGCCATGTTTTTTTTATATAGTGATTAGTTCTGTCTCGGCTATCCCATTCACATAAAAAGCAGCAAAACTTTGTATAACTCAGCTGAAGTCCAAGTAATAGTGCAACAACTTTAAGATCACCGCAAATTTTGAAGGAATATGTACTGTAATTTATTTTATCAAGTAAAAGTTTCATATTTTCATAGGTTTCTTTCATATTTGCAGCATGGGCCAGAGGTACAGACGGAAGCTTATTTCCATTATGCAATAACACTGCTTTTAGACTTGCTTTCGAAGAATCAATGAATAAACGCCACTGAGAGAGATCAAAATCTATGTCCAACATTTTCATAATCTCATTTATGTTATTGCAAAACACCAAATCTCCATCCTGAGGAAAATACGTTCTGAAGTGTTGATCACGGTTTCGAAAATAGCTAACTTTTGTATCATGGTGTAGCAAATTCCATTCTTTCAGACGTGATCCTAATAGTTCTGACTGCTTTTTTGACAAATTTAAATCCCGAACCAAATCATTTAGGTCTCCTTGAGTTATCAAATGTGGCTCGATTACAATTCCTTTTAACTCAAAGTCATCGTCCTCGTCAACACATTCACCTGAAGTGGACGGTTGTGAATTGTTCTCAACAGACGTAGTTGCAACTGGTATTAGTTCTGGCAATTTTTTACAATGAGAGACTGGTCTTATAGCCGAAGATAAGTTAGGGTGAATAACTGGTTTTTTTCTTGTAATTTATACCTTTTATGTCTGTGAGACAAAAATAGCAATCTGAAACGTGATCTCGCTGTTCAGTCCATATCATGGGTACAGCAAACGGCATAGGTCGTGCATCTTTCTTCCAGGCAGTTAAATTTTTCACACACGTTATGCAACAGACATGAGGGGCCCAGGATTTGTCTTGATGGGCGACAGAAAAACCAAAACATTGGTGATAACACTCCAACACAAGATTCGTAAAATTTCGTCGTTGTTTTTTGAATGTTAGTTCTCCGCAGACATAACAAAAAGAGTTAGGATCATTATTACACTTCCTCGACATATTCACAGGGTTAGTAAATCACAAAAGTGTTCAAATTCAACAACAAATATTTTTATAAGGATTTACTTGTAAGCATTTCTGTTAATTTACTGCAGTAGTACTAGTTATGAGTATTACCGTATCACAACAAATATGAGGCTAATAGACATATGACACCTGTGATGTAATAATGAGGGTAGACTGATAAAACAAAATTAGCTGTCAAAGTTCGTGTGGCAAAACCTGTGTTGACCAGTGTTATCACAATGACCACGATTCAACTTCAGAAATAGAAAATAATGAAGGTAACAACGATTCTGCTTCGGGAGAGGAACTTGAACCTGAGATGGATAAAATAAATGTTAGGGCGTGTTATGGAAAGGATGTGTGAGATGTAAAAAATCAGTTTGCTTACCATGTGTGGAAAAATATGTGAGGAATGTGCCAAGGAGTAACATTTTACTTTTTTATTTACCTCAAGTTCAGGTGCTGTAGTTTTCTAGTATATATTTTTCCAAAATGTTTATTTTTTTTACTTCATACTCTATCAATGTTATTTCATCAATTCCATATATTATAGTGTCTTAAAAAAAATGTTTAAAAAATTTAATAAACTATGCTGTTCGACAAATATGTGGACTTTTATTTAGTTTTCCTAATTTATGTTTGATAAATACAGATAACCTTCAAAATTATTTATAAAACATTGTTATTTGCCTCAAAATATATTAGAGAATTAGACAATATATAAAATTAAACAATATCTAAAATACATACAAGAATACAAAAAAATAATATGTGGGTCTGAGAGACCCAGCGTCACCTCTAACGTTACCCGAATGGCACGTCACCAGTTAAGGGTTAAGGAGATTGATAGCCTTCTGAACTATTTTATTATAATAGTTGTTTCAGCGAGTCTCATTTCCTCTTTGGTTCATTGCAGATGGCTGCAATGCTGCATTGGGTATGGAATCCCGAAAGATCAAGGATTCTGCTATCACAGCTAGTTCTGCGTATGATGCCGGCAGCGTTGGACCTCAGCATGGCAGGTAAGTTTCACACAAAAGGTTCTCTCTATTTTGCTACAACATTGTTACAGCAATAAAATTCCTGACACAATTTACTGAGGTGAATGAGTTAACGATAACTTTGTGGTGGTACTGTCACCGTCAGTGGTTGGTAAATAGAAAAGTTCATTATCACGGATGTTTGTCAGATACCAATATCTCATTTCCTGTGTAACATTGGTTATCGGGTACTTCACCGAAACCTAATTCTGAGGCAGTTTGTGAGAATACATTTCTCATGATTCGTCTTTCAGCTTGTGTGCTTATACAGGTATGTAACTGACTGGTTTGTGTCTCAAATGTTTGTGAAATCAAATGAAATACCCCATTTTATTCATTTCAATCTTTTATTGAAACTATGTATGAAAAATAATATCAGACAAATGTCCGCCTCTAGAAGCCGCGCAAACCTTGAGTCCTCGTGATTACATTTTCCAACACTTCTTGATAGGTTTCGGGAGAAATATTTTCAATCGCTTCCGTAATATTGTTCCTCAGTTGCTCTACTGTATTTGGTTTGTTGGAATGTACTCTATTTTTCAAAAATCCCCATAAAAAAAAATCAGGAGCCGTTAAATCCGGTGAACTTGACGGCCAGTTGACATCACCAAATCGAGAAATTGAACGCTGTAATATTGAATGACTGTATTATCATGGTCATTAGGCTATAGTTCTTGGATTAACTGCATTTTGTATGGACGCAGATGCAAGCCTTTTTTCCATGTTCCTACGCAAATCATTTTCTTATTGCCTTTGGACATATTCTTCTTGATTTTTCCTTTACTTATATCTAGTTTACGTTCCGAATCCGTATCCTTGCTTATTGTCGCTGCCTTGGTCATCATCTCATCATCTCAAATGGGTAGAGGATAGGTTATTAGTGAGAAAATTCGGTTACTGATAATTAAATTTTTTAATTCTGGGAAATCAAACTCAGAAATTGCAACTTTGTTAGACTTGTCGCGGTACAGTGTGAGAAATATTGTTAGACGATATAACGTAACTGGTTCAGTTAATATTAAGCCACGATATGTGAAAAAAGTAATATCACAAATGCCGACCGAAGAGCATTAAGAAGAATAATCGTGAAAAACAGGTGTGCCAATTATTTACAATTAAGTGCTCTGTGGAGTGATGCTGTTGGAAGGAAAATTTCGAGAACCACAACTCATAGAGAGACCCACAAATTGGGATTTAGCACTTTCAAGGTAACTTTTCTTATAAAAAAAAACTGAAGTAAAATCAATAAAGTTGCACAACTTGTTTACAGGCCAAAGAAAAGCCACTATTAACTCCACTGCAAAAGAAAATTGGCTTAGATGGGCTAAAGAACATAGACAATGGACACCTCAGCAATGATGTGCAATACAATGGAGTGATGAGGCCCGATTCGAAGTTTGTGTTGGTGACAGTCGCAGTACAGCTATTCGCAAAAAAAATTAAGCATTCCATGTTTACTGTCTGAAGAGAAAAATGAAATTTCCAGCATCCATTACGGTCTGGGGCAATATGTCATCAAAAGGAGTAGGAAAACTTCATTTTATTGATGGAAATGTGGATACAAACAAATATTTGGCAATTTTAGAAGAATCGCTTTTACCAGTGATGGAAGAATGTTTGACGTCCGGCCAAGATTTTGTGTTTCAGCAAGATGGTGCAGCGTGCCATATCTCAAAAAGGCTATATAATGGATGGAAGAAAATAATGTACCACTTTTGAAATGGGTTTCTAGCAGTCCAGATCTGTCACCTATTGAAACTTTGTGGCACGAGATGAAAAAGGTTCTACGAAAACATCCTGCTCGTACAATCACCAAACTGAGACAAAAGCTTCAAGAAATATGGGATTGTTGTACACCAATTTTTGCCAAAACTTGGTTAACACTATGCCCCAAAGAATTTCAGCCGTAATAAAAAATAAAGGTGATGTTACCCAGTGGTTATCTTTCAGTTGTTGCTTTGTTAACTTCGCGAATTTATTCGCACATTGTTTATTTGTTCAGATGTTCTATAGGTCTAAGTGATTTCAAATATGTATTTTTTATGAGTGTATCTAAAATGTTTTTGAGAAAATAAATTGTTTTAGAAGTAAATTGCTTCGTCATGTTTAGTTTATAAAGGCATATTTTGGTACAAATCTTGAAGTCGGCCAACTGAAGTGGGAAGGGGCTCGTAGAGTTTCTGAATTTCTTGGGAAGCTTGATTTGCTATCAAGAAATCAATATCTGAAAACAATTTAATAACGAAAATACCCCAAGCAAAGTTACAGAGCTGATATTAACCCGTAACTGGTGAGGTCCATTTTTTGTCCCGTATATGGTGAGGCGGGGTCATAGTGACCCCGCAATTTTTTTTGCAAAAGCCAATATTGTTTTTATATTAAAAAAATCTGCCTTGATAACTGAAAAACCTTTATTTTCTGATAACGCTAACGCAGAAAACATTTGTTTATTAACTTAATTAACACAAAAAACACTTAAATCAAGAAACGGCCTCAAAAATCAGGTATTTTATTAATAACGTAATAATTACCCTGTAATTATAAAATGAGCTAACATAAATATTTTTTTTCTTAAAAACTAAACATATAGGTTCAATGTACCCTACAAACAACAAAATATAAACATAAACAAAATTTAACATAAAAATTGCAAGCCATTCTTACAAGCAATCTTTACAAATGTGTGTTTCACATACATGGCAGATAGGTGCTTTGCAACTAGCGCAAACAATCTTGGTTTTCCGATCTAATGATCTTGGACATTTAGAGCACCTTACCCTTTTTGTTAAAACATCATTTGACGGTTCAGGCACGTCTTTCTGTAAAATAGAGGCTATATTATATCTCAATTGCCTTGGAATTTGAAAAGTAGTTACTCTTCTTTCCATATGATCCTTAACAAGCTGTCGCGCCAAACTTTTGTTAAATTCATACCTCGACTTCTGAGGATTTCCAGGTAAACATGAGTATATTATAAATGCATTAACGGAAGAAATATCCAAGATGGTATAAAAAATAGTTAGAGGCCATCTTCGACTCCTGCGATGTGTAGAATACACTGTACATTTTTCGTCTAATGCATCGGCGCCTCCTTTGGTTTCATTATAAAATTCAATAATTTCTGTTTTTTTTGTTTCATTATTTACTGTCTTACTGAAGTGCATTGAAGACATCATAAGTACCGCTTTTCGTGGTTTGGGTACATAAGAAACTAGTGTAACTCTATCGCCAAATGCAAATAGGGAAGAGTCCGTAAGTCTACTTTTGTTTGGCAAAAAAGAAGCAGGTATCTCTCTCTTATTTTTTCAACAGTTCCCACGTAAGTTAGGCCTCGCTTCTGCAACCCAGTTATAACTTCTAATGATGTAAACCAATTGTCCGCTGTTACATTACGGTTAGTACCCTCAATAGATCTTACCAGACAAAGAACTGATTGCGTTGGTTTGTTAAATTGTCTTTCCTCTTCTGACAATATGTGACCGTCACTTCCAGCACCTGTATATACATACCCATCCAGAAAATAATGAGTTCGAGCGTCAGTTAGTGCCATTATTTTTAGGCCATATTTTCGGGGTTTTTGAGGCATGTACATGCGAAATACACATCTCCCCCGAAAACCAATAAGCATTTCATCAATGCAAGCATACTGCCCTATGGAAAAATTCTTCTTGCTGTTTTCTGTAAACTTATTGAAAATTGATGAAATGGGGGCCAGTTTTTCAGTTTTTTTACGGTCTTCCCTTGTAATTTGGTCATCAAACCTAAGCGCTGTCAAAAGTACTTGGAAACGTTTTATTGACATGGTGCATCTAAAAACTTCTCTACCAGTACCATCGGTAGCAAATATCGAATTCAAGTCTTCATTATTGGATTTAAAAATAGCTGAATAAAATAGCAACCCAATAAAAGCCTTTAATTCGATAACATCTGAATCCCTAAGGTCCGTTCTATTACCATCAGCATATTTGGTTCTAATTCTGGCAAGTTTTTCATTACTTCTGAGAACAATCTCATCTAAAATATCGCTTGTTATTAGGCATTCCCAGGCACTTTTCTCGAGACACAATTTTCCAAGAGACTTAGCTGGTCCAATAACTCCGGGAAGATGAGAGATAATATTATGACTTCTGGTTCTTACATTTGAAAGTGGAGCATCTGCAGTCCATTTGTATCGATTTTTACCATAGTACGTTCTCGGAGTTGAATTTGGAATTTCTTGGTGCTCGTTGGAAGGTGCTGCATTTTGTGAGGTAGTATCTGAAACATCCAGTGTAGTTTCCAGTGCCACGGTTTCCGGCGCCCATTCAATTTCTGAATCGCTTTCGTGTTCACTGACATAATCGGGATCATTATGAGAGTCATCATTCCCGCTAAAGTCACTCTCTTCCGCCTCTAATATACTTTGAGCCCATTGTTCAAATCTGGGATCATTGATTTTCATTTTATTAATACGTGACAGGTCCATTTTCCCTAAAAATGCAAAAAACAAACTAATTTCCAAGGATATCTAAAAAACACGTAAATAGTGAGGCGGGGTCATAGTGACCCCACTGCGCAATAAATTCAGTATAGTTTGTACGTTATACACTTACCGATTTACTCACGTCTATCCCTTCGGCTATCACACCAGACACTGACTGAAAGGTACTGAAGCGGTCGACCGGCTAGGCGAAATAACCTAAGACGTACGTCATTTTTAAAATCTGCTGGGGCTCTCACGACCCCGCATCACCAGTTACGGGTTAAAAAAACTTGATGAAGGCAAAAGTGTTAGAAGACTATTGCTGGATTTCACAAAGGCATTTGGCACTGTAGCACACCAAATATTCCTGAACAGACTAAATGATATAGGAATTAGGGGCTCGCAAATGATTTGTTTAAATCTTATCTAACTGGAAGGTTGCAGAGACTTGAAATAAAAGATACCAAGAGTAATTTCTTTCCAATTAATGCTGGTGTACCACAGGACACAGTGCTAGGTCTTTTTCTGCTTGATAGTTATACCAATAGAATGTTTGCAGCATTTAGAGGTATAGATATTTTTTGTTTTGCTGATGACACTGCAGTAATGTCGATGTTGATAACAGGGGTATAGTTTAAAAAAAAAATGAAAAACTAAATATTCCAGAACTAAAATGAGATTCGGAAGAATTTGACTGTATTTAATTTTATTTGATACTGATATTTGCTTATGTATGTATCAGCTTTTCTCTTCCTGAAATAAAATTTATATTACAATTTATCTGTAATTTAATTTCTTAATTGGATATCTGCACACACAGACCCCAGGTGAATTTATTAATTTTGGCAGTGGGCCATCCGTTGGTTCCTTCTTTAAATTGGTATTAAAACTACGCTCTTCAATAATATGTAACACTCGATACTTTATTCAAAAGAGAACACCTTGCCATTATTTATGAAAAACAATTTCAGTTAAATGACTGCCGCGGCTGGCCTGGCAGTAGTCCATCTTCTTAACCCGATTTTGAACCACATTTTCGATAGTTTGTTTCATCAATAGCTGGACGGATATTTTCCTTAAGAACATTAATTATTTGAAGATCGTTAGTGTAACAGCGGTCCTTAACAGTACCTCATAGGAAGTAATCCATCGGCGTCAAATCACAGCTGCGGGCTGGCCAATGAACGGCTGATAACGCGATAACCGAACTTCTGTAAATATCGATTGTTTCACGGCTGGTGTGGCATGTTGCGCCATCCTGCTGGAACCAGAGATTGTGCAAGTGCACGTCGTCTAATAGTGGCCACAAAAAACTCCTCAACATGTCTCTATAGCATTCCCCGTTGATCGTCACGCTGTTACCATCTTCATCTTGAAAAAAGTGGGGACCAATAATCCGACCACTCCAAAAGCCACACCAAACAGTTGCTCTTTTTGAATGCATTGGTTTTTCACACCAAATATTCTTCTAAATTTTCGCTAAGTTTCCGCAACACAGCACTCACTTTTAAAATAGCTTCCCAATATTTCCCACCTTTGTTCAAAATTAAAACGATCCATTGCTCACAGCGGAAGTTTGACACAATACCTGTATACCTGTATATCTGTTGAGCATGGAAGTATTGCCAATTGTCAAAATAATACCTACCAACTTAAAAAACTAACTGATGGCCCACCCTTTACTTTTATTCTCAATTTTGTATGTTGCTCTCACCATTGATTTTTTCAATGAAAATACGTAATTTAATTTTTCATCATGTACGGTGCACAATGCAGCATAGTTTAAAATATCTGATACTAAACACTGTCAATGCAATATACATTACAAATATGTAAATAAATCTGAGTCTAAGTATTTTCAGCATGCCAGTATGCATACTTTGGCCGATAAGTGCTAAATAATAATAATAATAATAATCCGGCTTTAGTATAAAAAGGCGAAGTGTCGCTAAAATGCGTTTTTCAACTTAACCCAACAAATATTTATGTAAATTTTCTAATCCCAATGAAAAGAAGAAAGTTGAAAAAACCCTGTAACAAGTCCCTATTCATGGCCATGGTCTACTTACTGGGCAATGAAGTCAGAGATAAAATGCTTCAATATTTTTTTGAATTTCTTTATAGAGTAGTCAACTCGATAGGCAACGCGTTGTATAGCTTGATAGAAGTATATACGTACGACCTTTCAAATAGAGGGATAATCAAGATATGCTTTTTCTTTGTGTTCATTTGATTAACATCTCAGTATCTGATAAATTTCGTTGATAGATATGGAGGGGCTTGTGTTGTGATTACCTTATGGGTCAAGGCCAATACGTACATTTCTTTGTAGCTCTTCTATTTTTTGAACACCCAGCTTACGATATATATGTGACACTGACTCAAATTTTCGCACTCGATAAGCAAATCTGAGACACTCTTCGTGAATAGTCTGAAGTCTCCTTATCTCAATCGATCTTAGTACAGGCCCATAAATACAGTCACAGTAGTGAATTCTAGAACATATTAAGGTTTCGCACAACTTCAGCTTGAGACCAGTATTCATACTTTTCCTATGAGGAAATAATTGCTTCAAGACACCGAATGATGTTCGGCACAGTTTACTAACGAGTTTTTCAAACCTCAAATCAGAATCAATCCAGAGTCCTAAATTCTTGCACTCATTCTTTATAGGGATTGGTTGATCTAAAATGCTCAATGATAGTAATGGTTTTGCCTGACTTTTATTGATTTCTGATCTAAATATAACTGCGGATGATTTTAACGGGCTAATTTTGAGATTATGGGCACGAGATACGTTAGATACATTTATTAAATCATTACACTGATCAACAGCCAAAAAATATCCTAAATGAAATCAACAAAATATTACTATTTTAATGTGCTAAAACCGGAATGAAACTTATTTTTTCAATATTAGTTCAAGTTTTAGAGATACGGTATTATATGTGTTCCTGCTGTGACAGTGTTAATATACTGTAATTCACAAGAATGCACGTGCTACATTTTTATATTCGGCAAGGAAACATGATGTAATCGGCATGATTGTGTTACGTTATACATACGTGTACATTATATTGTTTTATATTAGCCATTTTTTCCTCAGTTGGCTGACAGCGTTCATGCAAGATGTCCCGAAAGTGTGTAAATAATCCAGATCAGTTTTGTTACGTGTGTGGTGATGTGACTTTTGCATCTCAGAGACGGTCTATTTCTCCACTAATAACAAAGGCATATCAGCTTTATTTCGGTTGTAAACTAGGTGATCAAGACAAACAGTGGGCACCCCACACCTACTGTAATACATGTGCTTCAAGTCTGAAGAGCTGGTTAAATGGCAAAAAACGGTCTGTGCGCTTTGCTGTCCCAATGGTTTGGAGAGAGCCTACAAATCATATTAATGATTGTTACTTTTGCATGGTACCTTGTGTTGGACAAGCCACAGGTATGTCCAAGAAAAAAAAATCGGTTATTAACTACCCAAACATACCATCTGCGATGAGACCTGTGCCTCACAGTGACGAAAATCCTATTTCAAAACCCTCAGAATCCTACACTTGCGAATCAGAAAACGAATCAGATCGTGGCGATCGAGTGATTCGTCAGGAAGAAGATATACCATCAACGTCAAGAGATCCTGATTTTATACCGAGCACGTCATGCCACCAACCGCACAAAATCACACAGTCAGAATTAAATGATCTTGTAAGAGATTTAGAACTTCCAAAATATAAGGCAGATTTACTTGGATCAAGACTGCAGCAGTGGAACTTGTTAGAAGACGATGTTTCGGTATGTGTTTTTCGTAAACGCCACAAAGACTTAGAACTATTTTTCAATATGGAGAATAACTTGGTTTTCTGCAGTAACATTAACGGCTTACTGGCGGCTTTAAATATAAACTATAACCCAGAAGAATGGAGATTGTTTATAGACAGTTCAACATTGAGTTTAAAGGCAGTGTTATTGCATATTGGAAATATTTTACCATCTCTTCCTGTAGGGTATGCAGTTCACATGAAAGAATCATATGACAAAATGAAGTACCTATTGACATGCATAAAATACGATGAGCACCAATAGCATATTTGTGGCGATTTGAAAGTTGTTGCACTTTTACTTGGGCTGCAGCTAGGCTACACAAAGTTTTGCTGTTTTTTGTGTGAATGGGACAGTCGGGCAAAGGCACTTCATTACACCAGACAAAACCCTTGTCAAAAATATGTCATTGTATCAAGAGATGGGCTGTAATATGTCTCTTAAGATATATTTCCTACACTCACACCTGGACTTTTTTCCTGACGATTGCGGAGCCGTAAGTGATGAGCACGGCGAACGTTTTCATCAGGATATTTCAACAATGGAAAAAAGGTACCAAGGAAAGTGGAATCTTTCCATGCTTGCAGACTACTGTTGGACTCTTGGTAGAGATGCTCCAGAAACGATCCATAAAAGAACAGCAAAAAGACAGCGCATATAGTGATTCTTATAAGTATATGAATCTTGTTACTTTTTTAATATATCCTTAAAAATAAAAAGTTTTTTTCTAAACCGCAACTAATTTTTTTATTTCATTGTCATTTTTGGATTCAGCGCCCCAAAATTAACAAAGAAGTGCACCTTTCCCACAAGATACAATTAAAAATCTAAAATTTGTTGTCCAGTGTTATTAATCAAATGATCGGCATTTTTTAAATCTTTAATATCAAAGCCAAAGTACAATTGAGTGTCGTCAGCCTGGTGATGAATACTGCAGTGTTCAACGAACGTGTGGAAGTCAGAAATGTAAATTGAGAACAATAATGCTCCCAGAATGGAACCATGATAATGATAATCTCAACAGAAAAACTTTTCAATTAAAGTAGTAAGCCATGCTCAATCCTCACCTGGAAACGTGTGACATAATTTTCCCTTAGCGGCGGTGACATTGGAAATCTTCGTTGATGCGGAAATGCTTTTAGCCGAATGTTCTCCGTCACATTTATGACATTTTACGGAACGCGTCTACCTAGCTGCCACGCTGACGGTATTTCTGAAATTTATAGGGTTTACGTGAAATTCAATTTTTCTCCCCTTTGCAACAGCAATTTCGGTGATTTCATCTGAGCGGGTGTTCTACCTGGTATTGATCCTGCATGTGTGGATTTGATGCTTATCAAATAAACATGTAACGTTGTACAGCTTTACCACCGGTCAAAATAATTTTCTACCCGTATTCTGCTGTCAGTATGT